GAAGATCGTATGGAAGTTGCGCGAATGATAGCTGCTTTAGATCAACCACTTAGTTTTGTAGAGCATCCTAATTGGCAACGATATATTAAGGTTGTACACAATCCTAATGCACAGTTCACTTCAAAAACTACTCTTAGGAAAGATTTATTAAAATTATTTAAAAAAGAAAAAGATGCATTAATAAACCTTTTACACTCGACTAGCGGGTGCGTTGTGTTAACGGCAGATATTTGGTCTGCCGTTGCCAATAAAGATTATTTAGCTGTAACCTAACATTACTTTAAAGGATTTGATTTAGATAAGAGAATATTAGGTTTTAAATGTGTTCTAGGATCACATAGCGCAGATTTAATATATAACACAATTTTAAATGTAATTGATGAATTTAGATTAAGAGATAAAGTAATGGCTATAACATTAGATAATGCTAGTGCCAATACAAAAGCAATTGAATTTTTTAAAAATGATTTAAGTCTATTCGGTGACGGTACTATTTTCCACCAACGTTGTGCATGTCATGTAATCAATTTAATAGTTAAATCCGGTTTAAAAGAAATGGATAATCACATTAAAAGAATTAGAGATAGTCTTGCATGGATTCAAGGTAGTAACCAAAGACAAGAAGATTGGTTTAGGTTCTTACAAGCATTAAATATACCTCCTAGAGCATTAGCGTTAGATATGCCTATAAGATGGAACTCAACTTATATTATTCTTCAACAATGCATCCCTTATAAGAATCCTATAACAAACTATATGTGTGCAAAATTAGGAGTAGGACATATAGATGAATTTGATTGACAAATTGCCGAAGTTTTGTATCAATTTTTAGGTAGGTTTCATGAAGTTACTCTAAAACTTAGTGGAAAATACTACTACCCAACATCACCTTTAGCTTTAGGAGAACTTTTAAGAATTAGTATTTTATTTCACGAATATAGGGAGGACCCAATCTTAGGAGTTCCTATTCAGTCTATGGAAAAAAAATTTAAAAAATATTGGTCTAAGTTGCCTTTGTTATATGGTTTAGGTACAATTTTTGATCCTAGATTAAAATTAGACGGATTAGAAAGTGGTTTAGAAAACTTAGGTGAATTTTTAGGCATCA